GCCACACGCCCTGCTGTGTCATGGGCCTGATCCAGGATCCTCATGTCAGGCTTCCCTCCTCCCCCAGGACCTTGTGGTGCCTACTTCCGCTGTCGGAATGGCAGGTGCATCCCTCCGAGCCTGGTGTGTGATCACTGGGGCATGGAGAACTGCGGTGACGGAAGTGACCAGAGCTCCCGGCCACCAGCTGACTGCGGAGGTCAGTGACCAGGGAGGCCTGGGCCCTGCTGAGCAGCCAGGAGGGAAGCCTGGTCCCCACGCCCCTTCCCTGCAGCAGGGCCGCAGAGGGGAGGTGGGAGGCAGGGGCACAGCAGGAGAGAGGAAGGCGGTGTGAGGGTCAGAGCAGTTAGCTAGAACGATGCTAGCGATCATCTAATCCAGCTGTTTCAAAATGACGGTTTAGTAGCAGACACTTTTCCTAAATGGGACCTGGCAGAGGCCCAAGACCTAGAAAGGGGAGATCTTCTGCTTAGCTGGACGTGGGGACCTCCGGCCCTGGCTGACTGATGTCTCTCTGAGGGCTCCGAGTGTCACCCTCAAGACATACCTTGAAAGCCATCAATCCAGTCTGACTCCCACATTTTACAAATGGGGAAACCAAGGTTTAGAGAGAAGAAATGGTGGGGGACCAGAATAGATCACCCGGGAATAATCTTCCTGGAGATCTAGAGGTGTTTCACCCACCCACTCGTCCCCAGTCAGGAGTGGGATGGAGGCAGGGCTACCACATACAGTCGAACGGGTCGTTCACTGCAAAAAAACACCTAGCTGAGGTGAAACCCAGTTTCTCAGGACCCCACACACTTACCTCCCCAAGGCCCTGCTCAGCCTCCTTGGCAGTTGCTGGTTACTTCCCTGACATTCTGTGCTTTGCCCCACCGGGTCCAGGTCCTGTGTCCCCTTCTCCTCCATCCTGGCTCTTTCCTTCCCTTGGTGGTGTTATTTATAGGATATGGCCGGCTGGACTCGTCCCTGAGCTCTAGTCACATAACCGCCTCCATGCTCGATGTCTCCACGTGGATGTGTAGCCAGCATCTCCAGCTGAACTCGCCTCAGTCAGGACTTCTGACCCCCAGCCCTGCCCCCACCTCGCTCCTCTCACCGAGCGGCACCTTCACGTTCCAGTCGCTCAGTCCCCAGACTGTTCAGTCACTCTTGGCTCCTTCCTTTTTCTCAGCCCATAACCAAGCCGCCAACAAGTCCTCTGAAAGCTCTCCAGTCCCTGACCCTTCTCACAGCTGATCTGCTGTCACCAGGTCTGAGCCGCCACCGGCTTTCATCCAGAGTGTTGTAACGGCACCTGAACCGGTGTCCTTCCTTCTGACCTTGGCCCTCGAGACCGCAGTCTTCCCACAGAAGCCCAGAGAAGCCTTCTTTTTTTCCTTTCCTTTCAATAAACTACTTTTTAGAGCAGTTTTAGATTTACAAAACAACTGAGAAGATAGTACAGAAAATTCTCCTATACCCAGCACTCGATTTCACTTATTTATTATTTATTTTTGAGACAGGGCTCCATTCTGTCTCCCAGGCTGGAGTGCAGTGGCACGATCATAGCTCACTGCAGCCTCGAACTCCTGGGCTCCAGTGATCCTCCTGCCTCAGCCTCCTGAGTAGCTGGGACTACAAGTGTGCACTCCAACGCCTAGCTAATTTTTTTATTTAAAAATTTTTTTGTAGAGGCGGGGTCTCTTTTGCTGAGACCCAGGCTGGTCTCAAACTCCTGGCCTCAAGCTATCCTCCTGCCTTGGTCTCCCAAAGTGCTGGGATTACAGGCATGAGCCACAGTGCCCAGCTAATTTTTTTATTTAAAAATTTTTTTTGTAGAGGCGGGGTCTCTTTTGCTGAGACCCAGGCTGGTCTCAAACTCCTGGCCTCAAGTTATCCTCCTGCCTTGGTCTCCCAAAGTGCTGGGATTACAGGCATGAGCCACAGTGCCCAGCCTGGATTTGGATTTGGTTTTGTGTCTCTTTAGGCTCCACTTGGCAGGGGCAGTTTCTCAGGACTTCCTTGTTTTTGATGACCTTGGTGGTTTTGAGGGGTACCGCTCCGGCAGTTTGTAGGATGAATCCCCCCTATTGGTTCGTCTGGTATTTTTCTCATGATGAGGCTGTGGTCACAGGTTATGGGAAGTGCCGCTTTCATCACATCATCTCCAAGGTACACACGACACGATCCACAACTGTTGATGTTGACCTTGACCACCTGGCTAAGGCCGTGCGTGTCAGGTTCTCCACTGCTATTTTCTGCCCCTATTTCCATACTGTTCTCTTTGGAAGTCACTATGTGCAGCCCACACTTGAGTGGGGAGTTATGAGTTCCGCTTTCCTGCCAAAGGAGCCTTTTAAAACATTAAATCAGATCATCACTCCTGTGCTCAAACCCTCCGCTGACTCATCTCACTCAGAAAGTGAAGCCTTCCAGGGGCCACGGGTCATGCGTGATCGGGCCCCGCCCCTTCTGGCCCCGCCCCCTCCACCCGCCCTGGACCCCTCTGCACTGGCCCCTCGCGGGACCTTCCACACTCCAGCCTTGTCCTGCCTACTGGCCTCTGCACTGGCTACTTCTGCCACCTGTAAGCCTTTTCTTCAGGGATCTGCTGCTCATTCCTTTGCCTCCAGGCAGGTCTCTGCTTAACTATGGGTCTAAGTTCTTTCCTGACCCCTTTGTATAGCAATGGCAACCCTGTGTCCACCTGCAGATGAATGGGAACACAAAGTGTGGTCTATCCACACAATGGAATATTATTCAGCCTTGAAAAGGAAGGACATTCTGACACAAGTGACCACATGGATGAACCCTGAGGACGTGCTAAGTGAAATAAATACTGTATGATTCCACTTATATGAGGTACCAGAGTAGCCAAAATCACAGAGGCAGAGAATAGAACTCTGGCCCCGAGGGGCTGGGGAGAGGAGGTCTGGAGAGTGATTGTTTAATGGACATGGAGTTTCAGTTTGGGAAGGTAAAGTTCTGGAGATGGATGGTGGTGATGGTTACACAACATGTGAACGTACTTAGTGCCACTGAGTTGTACACTAGGCGCGGTTAAAATGCTATGTGTACAGCTATAACTGCTATGTATATTTTACCACGACAAGAAAATAGTGAGCCTGCCCCAGCCAACATGCCCTGTCCCCTTCCCCTGTGTGAGTTCTCTCTATAGCCCCTGTCTGCATTTGACCTACGCTGTGTTAATGTGATTTTTTTTTTTTTTTTTGAGACAGAGTCTCGCTTTTGTTGCCCGGGCTAGAGTGAGTGCCGTGGCGTCAGCCTAGCTCACAGCAACCTCAAACTCCTGGGCTCAAGCGATCCTCCTGCCTCAGCCTCCCGAGTAGCTGGGACTACAGGCATGCGCCACCATGCCCGGCTAATTTTTTCTATATGTTTTTAGTTGTCTAATTAATTTCTTTCTATTTTTAGTAAAGACGGGGTCTCGCTCTTGCTCAGGCTGGTCTTGAACTCCTGAGCTCAAACAATCCGCCCGCCTCGGCCTCCCAGAGAGCTAGGATTACAGGCGTGAGCCACCGCGCCCGGCCTGTTAATGTGTTTTGTGTCTCCCCATGCTAAACTGGCGGTTCCACGAAGACCTTTTTGTCTATTTTGCTCACTGTTGTCTCCCCCAATCGCTAGAGCAACGTCTGAGGTATAGGAGATGCTCGAGAAAGACTAGTCAGATGAATGGAAGAATGAACCTGTCCATGCCTCAGTTTCCTTACCTGTCAAACAGGATGATACACCTGACCTTTCAGAGTTGTAAACCGTAAGTGAAACACCGTAGGGAAAGGGCCCAGCACGGAGCGTGGTGCTCGGTGCACAGCAAATGCTCAAGGCACGTGCATCTCCTTCCTTGAGAAGCAGCTCACCCATGAACCCCGAGCCCTGGAGCGAGACCGTGCGAGCTCAAGTCCTCCCCTGTCACTTCCAGCTGTGTGACCTTGGCCAGTGACTTAACCTCTCTGCAAAATGGAAATACTAACAGTGACAAACTCAGAGAAGTCTTGTGAGGATTAAATACAACACAGAAGTGCCCCAGAAAGGGCAGCCCTGTGTGTGTTCTGTTCTTTCCCGCTGCAGGTCCCTCTCTGGGGCCCAGCCAGACTGGCAGTACAGACGCTGGTGCCTCCAAGCCCCCGACTCTCTTCCTGCCTCTCGGATCTGCCGGCCCCCTCTGGACTGCAGCTGAGAGCAGCCCCGCCGCAGGCGGGAACCCAGCGCGACAGAACGCAACTCTAGAAGGTAGATGGCTCTTGGTTACAACCCGCTCCTGCTCTTCCCACCAAACCACACTTGTCCCTCTCCAGGTGATGGGTACGGGGGCAGCAGGCCCAGGCTGAGGCCTGAGTGGACCCTCTTTTCCCGCAGGCCCCCAGTTCCGGGGGGTGGCAGTGGCCTCCTTGCTGCTCCTGGCCTCTGCCGGCCTCCTCATGGGCTTCCTCTGGTGCTGCTGCTCCCCGGGCCGGCTGGCCTGGCAACGGCAACCTGGTGCCCACGACCTCCGCCTCAGCTGCAGTGCAGCTTGCACCACCTGCTACATGCATCCCGGCCAGGTCGCCCCTGGGGGGCTGCAGCCAAGTGGACCAACTTTCCAGGATCAGGGAGGCCACCCCTAGAAAGGCTGCGTGCATCGGAGCAAGGAGGCTCTGGGGTCTGATGGAGCCTGGGTTCTAATCGCCAGTTGGCTGTCTGACCTTGGACAGGTCACCTAACTCTCTGAGACTTGGTCTGCCCCTCTGGAAAATAGGACGATTCCTGCCCCACAGGGTCATTGAGGGCCACAGGAGGTAACTTGCACACAGTAAGCCCTACAGCTTGGGTGGCGGCTGGCGCTGGGCTGGACCAGGAAATGGCAGGACCTCCATGCCCAGGGCAAGCAGTGGGGGCCTTGCTAACCTAAGGCCGCCTTGCTTCACTTCCAGCCCCACTTTGCCCCACCCTGCCCCACCCTGCCCCACCTGAAAGCTCCACTGGGTCAAGCCCTAGTCAAAGACACAGGAGACCCCTGGCGGGGATAGCACCGTTTATTAAGAAAAATCAAGACAAAGACCACAGGAGGGTCCCTTCTAGGACACAGAGGCCAGGCGTCCCAACCCCACAGTCTGGGGGCCGCTGGGAGGAGGGCACTTACCCCCCAGGGCGTCCTCAGGCTCCCACAGATGGGGCAGGGCTGTCTTATCCCCTCCTAACCCTCCCAGTCTGAGTCCTGGCTCCCCCCACCCAAGGCACTAACTCTTCCTGACGGCCAACAGCTCCCCCGCGAGTCCCCTGGGCCTTCACTTCCAGATGAGTGGGGGATGTGGCCTGGTGTGGGCAGGGAGACCCTCTCAGTGCCGGGCTCTGCCTATAGCAGCTCCTGTAGAGTTGGGGTGGGGTTTCCCTTGCAGCCCCTCAGGGAGGGGCCCTGGCTGTGTGTTGGGGGGGGCGGGAATGCAGGCCAGGAGGGCGCAGGGGAAGGAGGGAGGAGGCTGCCAGGGGCAGTGGCCCGGCTGGCTGTGTCGGGGGGCTGGGACATGGGCTGGTAGGGCTAGGGGGTCGCCTGCCCAGGGGTGAGCTGCCTTTTGCTCCACAGCTGGCACTAAAGAGAATTCCCAGCCCAGAGAGGGTGGCGAAGGCTCCTGCGACATCCCGTCTCAGGTAGCTGGTGAGGCACAAGGCTGTGGCCGAGGTGGGCCCTCACAGGAACGAGGACTGCCCACGGGCTGCAGAAGTGGGCAGTCCGGCTCTGCCTTGGGGGGCCCCATCCGGGAGGGGGAGTGGGGGCAGTTCTGGGCCTATGCAGCCACCGTGCCTGATCCCTAGTCCTGGTGGCCTTCCGCGGCACCCACTCCCATCCAACCTGCCCTGCCTGTCAGCCCTGTGGCTCTGCCCAGCTGTGTGTGTGTGTGGGGGTGGCGCGCCCACCTCCAGTCCAGCCCAGGGCGGTAGCAGCAAAGCGTGGCATTGCCTCAGTTTCTTACAAAAATTCATAATAATAATATTAATAATAATATACTCGACATTGTCGGGCTGGGGCGCTGCCCGGGAGTCCGTGTGGGGCCGGCGGATGCCTAAGAGGGGCAGGGGTGTGTGTTGGCCCCTGCCTGGGCGCGGTGCTGCAGGTCCAGGGGCTGCGGGGGTGGGGCGCCGGGCCTGGCCGAGTGCAGCACCAGATTCTTGATGCAGCCTGTGACGCCCGAGGAGAACCTGCCCCCGGTCAGCGTGGCCACGTCGGGGGCTCCGCCTGCAGGGAGAGGAGAGGAGAAAGACTGTGGGCTCGGGAACCCCCAGGGGTGAGCATGGCCCATGGGAGTGAGGAGGGGCTCTGGGCCCACACGGAGGCCCGTGCCCAGGACTTACCGATGTAGATGCTGCCCTTGGCGTTGACTGCCACGTTGGGGCCTGGGGCCTGGCCACTGACCAGCTCCTCACCGTCAACCTGGATGGAGCCTCTCCGGCCCTCCCTGCAGCGGGACTGGGTCAGGCCCTTTACCACAGACGCCCCCGTCCTCTCCCCCCCACAAGAGAGTCCCACCCTTTCGGCACTGAGAGTCCAGACAGAGAAGTCCGCCTCCGGCTCCCTGAGCTTTCTTCATGCCCTGGCCCCGCCCCACCCCATGAGAGATCCAGCCCCACAAAAACAGCTTCCTCGGCCCCTGCCCACGTTGCTTCCCCCCAGGGGGCTCGCCCGCCCCCACCCTGTGGAGCTCTGTCCGGCCTGGAAATCTGTGCTCTGCCTAGGGTGGTCTCCCCCTCCCCCAGCTTCAAGTTCTGTCTCCCAGAGCTCCATGCCTGCCTCCCTGCATGGGGTGGCATCCTGCCCCGCTCCAGAATCTTGGGCCCAGCTGGCTCCCTTACCGCAGTGCTGTCACCCGGTGCCACTCGCCATCATTTATGGGGTCCTCAGAGACAAGGCGGGCCTCCCCACTACCCAGCTCGTAGCTGCAGTCACATAAGCCCAAGAGAGTGTGAGCTGGGGCAGGCCTGGAGTGGGGTGGGGAGCTGGGAGGCAGGGAAGGGAGGGGAGGGGCCAGGTGCCAGGACCCACCTGAAGACAAGATGCCCATCCTGAAGCCCAAGGCTGATGAAGTCCTTGCCTCGGCCGGCCTCTCCCACTTCCTGCCAGGGAAGCACAGGGTCTCTGGGCTCCCCAGCCTGGAGAGCTGAGGCCCCCTAAGGCCTGTGGCCTCCGTCTTCCTCTCTCCCCACCAACCTGGCCACCAGGAGACCAGCTTCCTGCCTCAGGATCCCTGAGACCCCAGGCCGCATGCCCACACTCACCACGCCCTGCCAGAGCAGGAGGCCGCTGGCCGTGCTGGTCTGAACCTCCAGCTCAATGGTCTCCGGCACCTCGGGCAGGCTGTGGGGGAGGAGTGGATGAGGGACAGAAGTCCCAGATTCTGGTCCTCCCCACTGAGCCCACAGGCTCTCCCAACACCTGTCTCACCTCCTGGAGAAGATGCGGCCAGGGAAGGCCAGGAAGCCATCGTCATGGAAATAGGCGCCGTACTGCCCAGGGGCATCTGCAGGAGAAGGAAGGGGAGGGACACCTGCTCACCTGCATCAGGTGTCAGTCCCCAGTCAGTTCCCTGGACCCCCACCTCCACTCCAGCACGTACGACTACCCGGGGCTCTGACCCCGGACACCCAAGGGGGCTGTGGACAGAATTCAGGGGCCTGCGAACTGTGTGGGAAACATTGTAACTTTATTTCCACTCACTTCTCACTGACAGTTAGCAGTTCCTTTAATTATAGACGCAGGCTACAAACCAAAGTAGTAGTGCCAGGACCTGTGACTTTGTCACTAATATCTGCTTATCACATTACAGCAGCTGCAAATATTTCAAAATATCATGTACACTTGTTATTATTTTGAAGTTGCAGTAGCTTATGAAGAGCACCACTAGATCTTGCTATTTAACGTGTTAATAAATAAGCACATGTTA